ATGAAGAAAGGATTAAATAGATTTCAATATTTATGAATGACATAAACAAAAATGGCAGTTTCCTTTAGCAAAAAATTAAAGACACAATTACAACTTATTTCACCAAGAATAATGATTGTGCTTCAAGACTGAAACCTAAGATGTTCAAATACAAATTTATAGGTTGTGTCAGTTTTCTCAGTGGCCTACACTTCATCTGCCAGTTGAAAATATTAGTGTAAAGATCATCTTACACTGTTGGGCACAAAACCATTTTGTTAGGACCAAGGTCTGATATTTAGCTTATCCTTTCTTCTACTTGCTCCTAATTACTATGTAAGAAAACCAAACAAACTAAAAAAAAAATCAAACTTGAGGGGGCTGGGGAGATGCCTCAGTAGAATAAGCACTTCCCCGGCAAGCACAAGGGTCTGAGTTCAATCCCTGGTTCCGCAAAAAAAAATAATAATAATTTTAAAAAATTAAACCATATACATTTTGGTCATTATTAATAATCAATAAGGAACCAGAAACTACCATATTTATGTTATAATTAATATAAATAAAGTATACTTTACTTCCTTTAAGGTTGGTTTCTCTACTAGTGCTCTTTAAAAAAAGAAGGTAAAGAATTTCAGAGGGCAACCACCAACCCATATTTACACAGACTTAAGGAAAGCAAAGACAGCAAACAGGGCATAGTATTAAAATTAGCAATCAGTTAAGTAATCACCATTCTCTTACCTGTTACCCACTAACCACCTTTATGATGAAACCACACAGTATCAAAATCTAATTTCTTACCATCATTACTATGTATTCATTACATAGTACTCAGCAAACCACTAAACTCCATAGTTGACCAAAATGTCATTTGAGATTACTCTCTAAGAAGGTAAACTGCACATGTAATGTAACAGAAACTTTTTTTTTTAGGGAAGGGTTTATAGGGTGTTCAGGTTCTCACTACTAGATCGGACTCATAGTGATCCACCTGTTTACAGCCTCCCAAGAGCTGGGATTACAGGCCTACGCCACCACACCCAGTCTCAATTGCTGTCTCAGCATGCCCCAGGGGCGGGGCCAGCACTGCAGGCCCGGGATTGAGAGAACCCCTGGCCTCTGCACCTGCTTGTAACAGAAACTTCAATTTTTCAAGGTATCTATATGCAAACTAGCAGCCATTTTACACTCTAATACAATGGCATATATAAAATGCATATGAAATCAAAACTAGAAACATTTATATAAAAATAAACATAAAGCCGAGGATGTAGCTTAGCAACACTGAACCTACCTATCAAGCTTGAGGCCCTCAGTTCCACTCCTGGTACGAAAAAAAAAAAAAAAAAAAAAAAAACAGAACCATACAACCATGTATCTTATTCAAGTATAGCAAATTCTTTCACTGCTGTCTTATGAACTAAATACAAGTATTGTGTCTACTTAAAATTGACTTCTTTTATAAATGCTATCAATTCTATACTCACATTAATGTACATACAATAATTTTCTTAATGAAATAAAGATTTCTATATCTTGCATGTACAGTACTTACATTTTTTAAATGTGAATTACAAAAACACAAAATTACCAACAAATTTACATAAAAACTAAAAATTTCAACATGTAAAATAAAGCTACAAGAGCTAATTAAATGTGTATACTTTTAGTATTAATTACCCAATCCCTACTTGATTTTGAATAAGACTTTTATCAGATGAAAAAAATCACACAGAGCTACCCCCTACAATTCAATAATGCCCCAAATGGTAAAAAGTTTGAGACCAGGCACTATCTATTTTCTAAAAGCACTAAGAAACTAGTGCTGCTGTTCACCGCAAATTGTAAAAAAAAAAAAAAAAAAAAAAAACTTAATATATATTTCTAAAGAAAATTTCCAAGTAGGGAATATTTCTTTTTTTTTTTTTTTTTTTTTTTGCAGAACCCGGGATTGAACTCAGACCCTTGTGCTTGCCAGGCAAGCACTTATTCTACTGAGCCATGTCTCCAGCCCTTGGGAATATTTCTTAAGAGTTAAAAATAATAACTCCTTTAATATATAATTCTGAATCAGTTAAAAATACTACTTTCCTGACATTGTGCAAATCCAGAATAACTTCTGCTTTATGTATAGAACAGATGCAGGGTGTGGGCGTTTTCTGTCACATGGTAACAAGCTGTTCTGGTGCAAGACAAAAAATTCAACCTAACTACAATGCCAGCTTTAACCATATTAACTCTGTTGAGTTGTAACATAAACACTGAATCACTCATTTTCAATGGAACCTAACAAGTAATTAACATGCTGACTTCTGGTGCACTCTTCTTTGAGAGTGTATCTTTTAGTGGCAGTTAATAAGTGCACTTAACTAAAAATAAAGTTGAGTTGACATAAGCCCTCCCAGCAACTCTTTCCTGAATCTTTCCAGGCAGCCTACAATGTGTTTCTCTGTAAGTCTATAAAAAGGAAAAGATACAACAAGGCTTAATCGGGGAGTAGATCTAACCACTGTCACTATCAGTAGTATACTGCGTGCATGTACGCGTGTGTGTGTATGTACGTGTGTGTGGTATAGGAGACCAAACTCAGGATCTTGTGCTTTTAGATCTTGCGCCAGGCAGGCGCTTATACCGCTGAGCTATTCTAAAAGCTTGGTTCCACGTTTTCCACAAAAGTATCAGAAGAGGGCTCTTCATTCCCCGGCTAGCTTGAGCTCACAGCTTCACAGTGTATCAGCTATGAAAAACTGTACAAAGCAATCAGTCTTTCTATACCTCACTTTCCCAGCAAGTTTAAGTAAAGCCTTCAGCGTGACGACTTTGACAGAGTATAAAGAATCAATAAACACTAATGTTTATCAGAAAACTAATCAGAAGAAAAGCCCCACTCAAAAGAAAAGGCTGTAGCATTGAAATGGGTACCAAGCTCTAGAACTCAAGGAAAAACACAAGTGAACACATACTAAGAGGTTGGGACCTACTCCCAAGGCCAAACAGGCAGG